GTAACAACGAAATACCCTACGATATTCTGAGGCTAGGTCGTAACAGGCGGGATCAGCTTACTGCGAAAGTCTATCAAGATTAGTTTACCTAGCGCGTTAAATGTAATGGAGGTGGGCACCAATGTGTTACAAGTAACAAGAAGGATTCTCTCCTTGACAAGTGACGAGATGGCTGAAGGCCTATGGACGTCCACGTCAGAAGGTAATGATCATCGCGGGGCGAGGATCACGTGATGGACATCACGCCAAGACGACCGTCAGACGCTAGTATGTGATGGCAGCAATCCTTTGATGGCAGCCATCAGGACATCAGGCCAAGCAACGGAAAAGTCGTGATGGCAGTGATGGCAGGACTGGAAGCAATGAGGATATAAGGATGGATGGATTTCATTATTACTCTCGTTGTGGTCAACTCAAATTGTACTTTCTTACTAGTATTGTTACTTCACAAGATAGTTACATGTTAGTCTATCCAATAGATTAGCGTTGTCAAACCCCGGTTACATCCATAACTCTTTTCCACTACGAATCGCCAGACAACCTCACGGAACACTAGCGTAAAGCTCACCGGCCTTAGTGTGGGACCCGGCAAGAGAAGTATAGATCCAAACCCCGTGTAACACAATGCCCACTAAGTCGATACTACGCGACAACCACTCGGCCACAGCCAACCCACCAACAAAAGGTAAGCACGAGAACAATCTGAACTGATTATTCTAGTTTAGTATAATATATATATAGGCATGTAACATCGTTATATTAAAATGGAGAAGCCGTATAGCGCTTACAGCTTAGACTTTAGTCTAAAGAATTAGAGGTGTAAACAGCTTTAGTAGTAGATTAGTGAGAGCAAAATGTTAGCAGGAGTAGAATAACATGTTTACGATAAGGCAGAGAAGGCAGCCTAGCAAGGCAGTGTTTGCCTTGCAAACTCATGTTAGAAGAGTGCATATGTGGGTAAGATGTCAGCAAATATAGCTGCAGTGGCAAGCACAATCGGTTTCCGGGTTTTGCACATTGACTTGTTCTCACCGCACGGGTGCGTTAGCTAACGCTTGACCTAAACGGTGCTTGAGCTAGTAGGATTAAACTTGAACTTCGGCTAAACAAGTGCTCCTTGAAATGTAGAGCTTGTTGTACGGTGTACTTAGACTAACTTTAGACGATAACGGCCCAGGCTCTTAGGCCCCTATCTCATAATATTATCGTTACTCTGAATCGCTATATGATCACACAATTTTCTGTCGCAGCCTATGCAACGCTGCACAAGCAATGACTTCAGCTGAGCCGAAGCAACAAGCCACTGTAACGGCAACAAGGATGCACTGCCTCAACAAGAAAAAGCAATAGCTATACACCACACATAAATGGAGATGGTAGATAGCAGACACAATACAGATCAAATTTTTGACCGCACCCACGCGTGCAGCTTTTCAAAGCCGCCGGGTATTATGTATTAATCCAATGACCTCCTAGATTTTAACAGATCAATTTTGTAGTACATTCCAGTGTATATTAAACAACATATACAAGAGCGCGGACCTAGGAAGGTGGAGGATAGGGAGGAGGGAGGTAATTATCTGGAGCTGAAGGACTTCAGCAGCTTGACTACGGCCTCATGCCCTCCTTTAGCTGCTAACGATAGCGGCGTCTGACCGTACCGATCATTCGAGTCAACGTCAACTCTGCCTGTCGCGAGTAGCAGCTTGACTACGGCCTTGTGCCCTCCTTTAGCTGCTAACGATAGCGGCGTCTGACCGTACCGATCATTCGAGTCAACGTCAACTCTGCCTGTCGCGAGCAGCAGCTTAACTACGGCCTCGTGCCCGTTCCTGGCCGCGGATAACAGCGGTTTCTCGAGGTCGACGTTAACTCTACATGTCGCGAGCAGCAGCTTGACTACAGCCTCGTGCCTATTCCTAACCGCTAATAATAGCGGCGTCTGACCGAGCAGATCCTCTAAGTTAACGTCAACTCTGCCTGTCGCGAGCAGCAGCTTGACTACAGCCTCGTGCCTATTCCTAACCGCTAATAATAGCGGCGTTTGACCCTCCTTATCTTTTAAGTTGATGTCGGCTTCGGCCTCAAGGAGTAACTTGATTACGGCCTCATGCCTATTCCCAACCGCTAATAATAGCGGCGTTTGATCCTCCTTATCTTTTAAGTTGATGTCGGCTTCGGCCTCGAGGAGCAACTTAACTACGGCCTCGTGCCCGCTCCCGGCCGCCCATGACAGTGGCGTCCGACCGGACCGGGGGTCTTCTAAATCAACCCTAGCCTCGCCGTCAAGCAGCAGCTTGGCTAAGGTCGCCATTCCGAGCCTTGCAGCTAAGAGTAATGGTGTTGGATCAGTCTTGACCCCATACCAGTCTATTTCTTGAATCAGCCATGTAGCCTCCTTGATTATGTAAAATGCGGACCTACCTTGGCGAAATAGATAGACATCTGAACGCTTGTTTATCTCTTCAAAAAGCCGAAAACACGCGTTCTCTGCCCCCTCCCCATAGAGAAGCGGTATATGGATATTTAATACTCCAAGTAGACAATAGGCAAAATCTTCCTCAATGGTAGTTTTCCGGTTAACCATCCATTGTAGTCGTTCATCTAGGCTGAATTGCACTAAAGGCATTCCTTGAAGTGCCCGAACTGTGATCCCAGTGGCCTCGTGAATTTGCTGCTCTAACGAGACTTTATCACCAAGCCGCTCGTTATCATGGGAAAAGAATTCAACCGATCGCGGAGCAAGGAGTTCTTGAAGTGTCCAGCCTCGAGTGAACCATGTGCTTTGCCTAAAAGCTGACTGCCATTGAGTCTGAGAGCAGTTGGCTGCTGTAACGTCTGAGAGGTAGACGTAGCATTTAGCCGCCTTTCGGTACCAACGGAACATTGAGTTAATCGCTTCTGAAAGCTCAGCGCTACTTGTTTTGTCGATACAACAACTGTCAACCCAGAAGAATTCCAATCCGTCTTTCTTGGCTTGTTCTGCGCAGAACTGGATCTTTTTATAGCCCTTTTTACTACTTGCTACACCATTCGACAGGTCCTCGAGAGTGACTTCGTGGTTATCCTCCTCCCATCTATGTGAGAGGATGGCGTAACGAGGAATCCGATCACCAACAAACCAGGTTAGGCTGAAGCTACCGTCGGGGTTGGTTCTGAGTAGCCGCATACTGGGTTAGGAGTGTAGACTGATGGAGCATAAATGGGAAAGGATTAAGTTCTTTGAAGAATATCTCTAGAGTAAGGCTATGTTGGTATCATGTGAGGTTTTGTGTTGGTGAAAAAATGTTGCCTCTCAGCCTCGTCACCTTACCAGGTCAGAAGTATTGTGGCGCAGAGCAAGGCGCAGGAAGTACTTAGAGGACCATGCGGTGAGAACAAGCGAAGTGCATGACGCGGAAACCGATTTCGGTCAGCATTGTAACTAATCTACAAAGGTTGTCGTTACCTATAGCGTCTCGCCTGGCTCTGTGCGACGGGGGTGGCTGCTTACCAGCCCGTGAATAAGAGCTGTCTAAGGTCAGGCGATGAGTGAGAGCCGCAGTTCTCAGCCACAGCGCGCAACCCCCCGCAGATATCTCAACACGCTACCGCTGCCAAATGCCGCTAAAGTCGCACGGCCGGCTCGTCGCGTTTTGACGATGTTGTCGCCAGCGCGGAGTGAGTGAGTGAGTTGTATTTAACGTCTATATATAAAGCCTCCCTTGGGGCATGTAGACGGGCTATGCCTATGGCTTGCCGTACTATGCCTAGGATGCCTATTCTTATTTACATGATTGTAGTGGTCTAGTAGTGGTCGTTCCGCCTGTTGATCGCCACTGAAATGATTGTGCAGTAGGTGTGTATCCGCCTTTAGTTGTCGTAGCTGATGCTTACTAAGGAGTGTGTAGTATAGAGGACATAGGAAAGAGAAGAGAAGGAGAGAGAAGAGAGAGAAGAGAAAGAGAGAAGAGAAAGAAAGAAAATAGGAAGACAGGAAAAGTCTTACAAGTGTAGGCTCTAGTGAGGCCTATATATTGTGTTATAGAAACCTGTGATTTCTAGGAAGGCGGCAAAGTCCTCTGGCTCTTCCCAGAGCGTCTGGAGGTACTTGATTGCTTCGCTAGGTGTCC